CTTCCATCCGACATAAATGATGAATATTACATAATGCTAAGTGAGAAAGAAAAATGAAGTGTTGAATTGATAAATCCCCTGGCGAATATTGAGGATAACATCAATGATGATTAATGTAAGTTTTAAGAAAGTCAATCCTATCCTTTGTCACATTGGTCCCGTGTTTGTCAACAATTTCTCTGACCTTATTCTTATCCGAAGTACTAGAAGTGAGAATCGCATCCTCCTCGCTTGTCCAAATATATTTGGCATTGTTTACTAATAGATGTGAAGAAAAAAAAATTAAAAATTAAAAATAGAATTTACACGTGATAAATCATATTTGGGCAATATATATATATATATATTTGATCGTAAACAATGAAATATTTACATGTTTTTCCATTGAGAAGGAAATCTTTGGTTACTTCAAAATTACAAGTAGTCTCTCCTAAAGCTTGGATTACTGCCGTCAATGGACGATGAGTAATTTCAGAAATTTCCTTAACCTTTGTTAAAAATTCTTTCTCGTCACCATCATTGCACACGTTAGTCGATTTAATTGGAAAACTAGAAGCCCTGAAGGGGGACGAAACTTGTCTAATCGGAGATAGAGATAACCTCAGGCGCTTTGATTGTGACTTGGTAGGAGTGTCAACATCACTTGGAGTCTGACGTCTTTTACCGAGACGCACTAAGGAAACAGGACAAGGGGTTTCTACTTCTGCTTCTTCAATCCGTTCTTGAACTTCATTGGTGCGACCATTAGGCGATTCAGGCCAAGTAGCTTTGGGTGAATCCAATAAAATTATATCATTCTCAATCGGAAGAGAAAGGTCTTGACTACTCCGACTCGTGAATGGTTTATGTCGTGGGTTTTCCGAAGAATCGTATAATTCGTCCTCATCAACAACCTGACTTCTCTTCCCTAACGTAGATAAAGAAGAACCATAGGAACCCAATGCATCTTCATATTTCATCCCTTTCCTTGGGGTTATCATGGAACTTGATTTTACCGGAGTCTTAGTAACATCACCCTTTGGTATTTGAGGTGTACTAAGCTTCTCCTGAGCCGAAGTTGTTTGTAGACCGGCGTTAGTGTTTACTACATTATTACCATCTTCAGTTGCCTTCTGACGATTCGTCTCGTTTACAACTTCGGGTATACAATTATCTTCTTCCTCAGAAAGATCAATCACAATTTCATTTTCCTTTGCATTTTCCAGGAATTTGTTTAATACTTGTTCAGTCGCCTGATCATCAATATCAGTAAAAAATGGACTTTCAGTGAACTCTGAAACATTAGATGTGTTCGTTGATGGTTCAACTTCACTTTGGTTTTTTCGATTTCGCTGTATCTCCATATTAGGCATAACAACAAGTTCTGCCCGATTACGCCAAGATTGCCACGTGTGGCTATCGTTCTTTGACATTAAAAAAAATAACTTCATATTAAGACGATTGATTATACTGCGATTTAGAAAAATAGTGTTTTTGGAAACATCTAACTACCATTTGTTCTAACTCCTTATATATTCTGTTTCCTTTTAGCCCATCCGATTTCCCCCTCAGAAAATCCTCTAGAAACCTATCGTCTTGTTGTGTATAGGATCTTCGTCTGGGAAAACATAACGAATAAATACGTTTCCCAAAATGACGAAATAATGTAGCTTCGTACATACCCATTTCTTTGGCCCGTTATGAGTAACTTATATTCTGCGGCTTTTTGAAATTGGTTAGCTTTGATTGAATCCATTACAAGCTTATAAGAATATATGTGCCGTATTCCGCTAACGAAACGCTGTGTCTTGTTGGGATCAGCAAGTACAAATTCCGCCTCTTTAAAATTGGTAACCACTTTTCCGCCATGTGACTGCGGAAAGGGAAATAATACAGGTATTGTAGAAGAAATGTGTTAGCAAAGAAGGAAGGTATTTTTTACAGACAGTGCAATAAAGACCGGTAAGAAAGTATTTGAGCTGACCTCGATTAGTTTAATAAGCATTGCCCGCTCTGGCACAGCATGTTTTATGTAGAAGGTTATAGGATTCCCAGCGCTGCAAAACAGCTTTTTCGAATCAATATGGTCACCTTCATCTTCACGTTGGTTTGCCTTGTTAAGCCTTCCAAATGAACGCTTGGGGATTAGTTGTGGTGACATGTTTATGTTAAGGTTATTTTAAAAAAATTATTGAGATATTAATAATGTTAAATGTATTATTTATAAGGACGGAAAATATTGTTATGGATTTATTACAGGATTATCAGGTGGTGTTATTGGGGGAAAAAGGGAAAAAATTATGTTAAACAAGGTCTGATGAACGCGATTATCCTATATTAACACTGAATAAATAAAGTTAAACAAAAAAAATCCGCGACTCATATTTTTTATTATAGAACGCGCCTTAGTAAAAAAAAAGTGTTCAACAATGAGGATGACTCAACCAGATGCGTAAAAAAAAATAATGAATTTTTTCGACGCTTCTCTTTACACATGTGACATTTACGTGTTATGAGGAAATAAGACGTGTATTTTTTTTTTAAATAAAAATTTACAAATGCCTATTAACTTCTTTGGAATAAAATATCTACGGGTTTCACTTCAATTACACACTCAAGGCTAGCCAAGGAATTATATAATCGGAATACCTTAATTAAATGAATATGTGGAGGAGAAAAAAAAAATAAAATTTTCTGCTACGCTAATTCCCACATTTCTTTTTCGGGACAAGTTCCGCGCCGGATTGTCATGGTTAATAAGCCGCCGAGGCAAAAATACGTAATATTCAGTCTACGCCATTTGCTGTGCCTTAATTCCAAGATGACCTAAATCCTCTGGACAACTTGTTGCCCTTTGGTTTTTAAAAAACAATTTTTTTATTGTTGCTAAACTTGTGTGTTGTTAGCTGCAAGGTGTTTGTTTTTTTATTATAAAGAGCAATGATCAACTGTGAAGAATGTAAATTTGGTAAATTTAATTTAAATTTGGATGCAATCAGTTTAAACAGTTTTTGGCAGCTGATATTATATATATATATTTTTTTTTTCTAAAAATTACATTCAAAAATTCAAAAAGCATGCTTTCATATGTATAATCATATTATTATACACGTATAAATAAATTCATATCACCATATTATTATTTATTAAAAAAATTCACACTTGACTTTTTATAAGTATCATACTAGCAAGTGAAAAAATTTTTTGCTTTGTCAATTCAAATTTATATATACTACTATCCGGTTGAATGGAAACACAATACTTAAATAGTATCACTTTCGGTAGATCATAACAAGAAATTGTGACAAATATATATGTATTGTTTATAAGTGTTTAAATGTTTATTAAAGAAAAATAAAACTAAAATTTTTGAGAATTTCGATTGAAACAATCATATATAGATCGCGCAATAGTCCTCGAGAGTATCTTGTCTAAAATTATTTTTTTTTTTGATAACTAAATTCATAAAAACTTAAATACTAATAATTTTTCCTTTTATTATGTACCTCTATGTTATGTTTAATTCCTACACAGTACCTCCTATCAACATTAGAGTTGATACTATTACAAAAACATCCTTGAAATCCGCCAGTTTTTTCTACTTGCACAGTTAATTCCTCCAAACCATTGATATGGGATTTTAATATTTTGGTGACTTCCGATATGGTTGCTTGCTCATTCGCCTCATTTGTTGTTTGAACATGTATACTACCAATTATACATTCAGCATCATTAAGCCAGAATCGTGGCATTGTGTATGAATTTATATTAGGAATATGCAATAACTGTCGATAAATTGTCAAAAATTAGTTAAGGTGAAGAAATTAAATTACTAGTGCAAAGCTTCTCTCTACCTCATGTAAGCCTTCGGAAATATTCCGCTCGAGGTCACCAGTTACTGAAAGCATTAAAACGGAAGCGGAGTGTTTTATTAGGGGCAGGACACTCGCAAATATTAATCCAGCGATTAATAATGATGCCAATGGATCAAATCCCGTCCAACCAAATTTCTGAATTAAGATTGTAGACACTATAACTCCAACCGATCCAAGCGTGTCTGCTAATATGTGCAGGTAAATTCCTAAAGTCATGCATCGAGGATTAAACTTGGCACGCGGAACTATAAAAGATAATGAATTAATGAAAATTATTATCAAAAACCTTCCATATTAGCATTATCTCCGTGATGGTGGTGATGATGGTGATGGTCATGGTGATGATGGCTATTATGTTGATGGTGACCATGCGCAATGCCGTGATCATTGTCAGTAAGGTGGCTTTGGTGAGAACCGTGAGAGTGCCCGTGATGACCATGATTAAATACGAATATACCAATAAGATTCACAATGAGCCCCACAAAGCTCACCAACAGTAATTTGTCGGTGTTCATTTCTGGCGGTTCTAATAAACGGCCGATAGCTTCAAACACAATAAATATCGAAACCAGAACGAGAAATATTCCATTAGCAAACCCAGATAATGTCTCGATACGCCCGTAACTGAAATGCAACCATATATTATTATTAAGACCGCAAGAAAAAATTCTAATAAATAGAAATAATAAGTAATTACCCGTATGTGAACTTGTTGTTCTCTGGCCATTTACTCATGACGGAGGCAAACAATCCAACAGC